CTGGAGGCTTTAGGAGGAAACCCATTTCTTGCCTTTTCCATATTCCGGGAGCCGCCACATTCCTTGGCTAGTGGACCCCTTCCTCATTCCCTTCCTCCAGCTTCCAAATCAACAATAGGCTGAATCCTGTCCACATCGCACCCATCTTACATTTTTTCGGTTGTTGCAGCCACAAAGGTTCTCTGATTTTAGGGGCTCATGTGATTGCATTTAGGGCCCATCCACCTAATCCAGGTAACTTCCACATCCTGAGATCCTGCCCCTTTAAGCCATGCTACAGAACACACTCAAAGTTTCCAGGAAATAGGATGTCAATATCATTATCCTGCCTCCCACACAAAGTTTCACTGAAAAGCCTGGAAGAGGCCTCGGTTGGACAAACCCTATTCCTGTTCCATCTCACAGATGAAGAGACAGAGAGAAGTGCTTTACTCAGTGTTATGCTGCTGGTAAATTCAGAACTGAGGCTGGACGCCAAGTCTCTTGACTTTGAGTCTAGAATTCTTTCTAGAATGCTGCTTTTCAAAGTGCAGTTTGCTCACCAGCAGCATCTGCATGACCGCGAGTTTATTAGAATCGCAAATTCTCAGGCCTCACATCATACCTACTACATCAGACTGCATTTTATCAAGATCCCCTGGTAATTCCTATGTATACCTAAGTTAGAAAGATCCTGATCAAAGACATCTCTGAACCTCCTGGGTCTTTTTTTTTTTTTTTTTTTTTTTTTTTTTTTTTTCTGGCAAGAAGCTTGTATATGACTGAATGAGGGACTATCTTAAGCACTTTGACCTCATTGGCTCTCTACCGAGCCCAACTAATTCTGATCCAGACTAATCAGATCTCTAAAGGTGCAGATTCAGCCCTGCCATCCCCAGTCCTTGCTTATCTGGGGCAACCTCTGGCTGCCAAGCTGGTGTTCCAATAGTGTGTCATGCAGTTTTTTCTTCTTGGAAGACAGGCAGGGCAATACAGCAGAGAAGCCCTTGGGCTCAGCTCCTGGTTTCACCGCTTAACGTTTGTGAACTTGAATGAGCTGCTTATCTTCTCTATGCCTCAATTTCCTATAAATAAAGATAAGAATAACAGTGCCTACTTCACAGCTGAGGAGTAAATGAATTAATATATGTAAACCACTTAAAATCTGCCACTTAGCAAGAGCAATGTGTTATTTCTCATTCTTCTGGGACCCTTTCCAAGTAGAATCAAAATCCTAAATGAACTCTAAATTCTAGGAATTTCTCAAGATTCTGTATTCTGGGATCAGAGGGGATACCCTTACCATGGTTCCGCGTGACAAGTGTCACTGGCATCAGAAGGAAGACGAGGAAGAAGGGGCTGTCCTTGGCTGAAAGCATTTGGTCCCCTGGCATGTGATTCTTCACAGTCTGTCCCTAATGGTTTTTTTCAGTCATCACAGAACGTTAAAGAAATGCACATAGATTTAAATATATTAAGTTAAGGAACGATTAGGAATACAGCAGAAGGGGGCAGAATGCTGAGAAACGTTAAACCCACGTCACAACATGGCCACACTGCTTTTCTTTTTTAAGTTTTTCTTCAAGTCAAATGTGTTTCCCTTCTGGTCATCGCTTGAAGCCCTAAACCTGTGGGCTGACTTAAAAATTTATAAATAAATACAGAGAGAGGCAAAAATAGGTTTACAGTTGTATGTGAAACAGTTAATTATTGTATTATTATTATTTATTAATTATTGTATTATTTCCCATACAAACAACTGTAAGCCTACTTTTGCCCAACCCTGTAGTATGCTTTTAACATCATTATATTGAAGTTGAAATTTGCAATTTGGTCTTGATGGAGGACATTGAAGCAGAATTAATCTTATTGAATGAGCATCTCTGGATTTTGCAACATGGCTTTTAGGATTTCTATACTAGTCAGCAATTAAATCTCAAAGTTCAAAATTTCTTAAAGTTCCTTTTATATATCCCCTCCTCCAGTGCTTGACTCACCCTCTTAATATTTCTATTAATTTTAAAATATGCTAAATTCTCTTTAGAAAAATGGAAGAAAGCTAAGGGTAATTTAATGAAAACTCTAAACTCACTTTAGAAAGATTTTTAATTACCAATATAAGCCATGTTATGAACTAAGAGACAGCACAAATGAATATAAAATGCAAACTAACCAATAAAAATATATTATTCTGAAATAAACCAACCATACAGGACATGTCACAAACACTATAAAAAACTAACTGAAGAGCCTGAAAGCAGGAACACATAGAAAAAATATTTTCTAAAAATATATAGAAACACTTGGCTTGAAACTTACTCCTTCAAAAATAAAACTATTCCTAACGTTTTATTTTATAAGAAGGACATTTATTATATCACTTTTTTGTTTGAATTAGAGAGGGAAGAATTATGGAATTGTAGTACAGTAAATCCTCATTTAGCATTGTCAATTGGTTCTGTGACTTTAAGGGAAATGAAATATACTGAAACCATTGGCTAACTTTACCATAGGCTAGTTGATATAAATCAAGAGTTAAGTTCCTACAGCATCTCATCAATGTTATAACAAAGTAACATTGAATGAAAAGATATTTTTTGAGGACCTGCTGTACTAAAAAGAGATCATGGAGGTTATTTTTCTTCCAATGAGGAACCAAAGTCCCAGATGAGGCAAAGTGCTATCAGGGTCCCAGGGTCCAAGGCAGTTTCTGAAAGATGATATCAGAAATAATGGGAAACTTGAGCTCAGTACCTGGATGCACAAAAGGGACCCAAGCTGGGTCCCTCGAGGACTGTGCCTGGTCTTTGTCAATTAGCAGAATATTGCAGTGAAAAAATTGAGTATAGTGACACCTCCCAGCTCCAGCTGGCAATCAGGAGGCATGTGCTATGTAATAGATGAAGCACATTTTGCTATGATTTAGTTCAGCAGTGGTGCCTGCTGAGGGTTTCCCTGACTCAAGGTTCCCATTATTGACCAAGAGAGATTTGGCACTAGGGGCAAATGTCAGAATGAATGGCAGCTTCCTCAATCCTCACTGACCACTGTGTATCATATGTTTATGTACCAGTTTTCCTCTTTAACCACAAAAAAGTTCCAATGCAAGGATAGTAAAAATTTATCAGGGAAAGCCAATGAAACAAAATGGCTAAGAGCCCAAGTTTTCTGGTCACATTGACAAGATTTAAGTCTTGGCTCTACCACCTATTAGCAGAGTGATCTTATTTAAGTTATGTAATATCTCTGTTTATTTTCTCAATTCTAAAATGGAGATAATTGTTGTATGATCACATGGGGCCGTCATTGAGAAAATATACTGAAAGAGTAAAAATGAATCCTTAGTAATCGGACTGCAGTATTTATAATAGAACATCTACACAACATTTCCAATAGACCATACCCAAGGCCACACCACTTGTACAAAATGACTAACAGTTCCTTCTCCTGAGTGATTTCTATTTTCTTACCAACATCATCCCAATTGCTGAACTCTTCTTGTTTCTTAATAGCCTTCATTTCAAAACAAGTTTCTGCTTTCTTTATGCCACCTTAAAATCACCCAGCATAAGTTCAGATCTTATAATAACCTCCCACCAACCCATTCATACAGAGACACCCTTAGGTGTATGCACTCTCTTGCTGCAGCAAGCTCATTAAACTTAATCTTGTTTGAGATCAGGTATGCTACTGATGGTCTTTGACTGATAGGCTTCCACAATACTGAGCACATTCTATAGTACACTATATGCATGAGAAATACTGGCTATTGGCAATAGTAGGCAAGTCTTTTTTACACCAGCTTCTTCATGTAGCACACCTCAAGACACATTTGTCGAATGAAGGGCCATTCTTGTGTAACTGGGAAGCCAGTTAAGCATGACTAGGATAAAGAATTGTAATTTGTTTTCTCCAAGGCTCAAAGTGCTATTTAGAAGTCCCCTGGCGTAACTGCAACTGGTGAAATAAAAGAGGAAGCAAAGCAAAAATTCTGAGCCTACAGAAGTTCAAGTAGTAACTAGGAATTGACCATTGTCCGGACTTTTAAGCCAGACTAGCTAGAGAGCTATAAAAAAAGGGTGTCAATATAGCTAAATGTTTAAGTTTTTATTTCCAAATGTCTATATAAATTAGGAAACAGATTTTTGGAGCAGTAGAATGAATGCTCAAGGCACACTCAGGGTGTTTAAGCTGAGCCTGGAACAAAGGGTAGGATTTTGTACAGAAGGTGTGATGAGCTACCTATTGCTGTGTCACGAATCACCCTAATACTTAGCAACTCAGAATGAGAGTAATAACTTATTCTTCTGTCAGGAACCCTTGAGTTCCCTGGCTGGGTAGTTCAGGCTCAAGGTCTTTCATGAGTTGCAGCCATTAGAAGGGTTGCTGGGGCTGAGAGATCCATTCCCAGGTAGTTCATTCCCGGCTGGAAAGTTGGTCCCTCTTCACATGGCCTTTCTACAACGCGGTTGGAGTGTCTGCAGGACATGACCACTGGCTTTCCCCATAGGTAACAATCCAAGGAACCAAGATAGAAGTAGCAAGCCTTTTATGACCCAGCCCTGGAAGTCACATACCATCACCTTGGCCATATTCTACTGGTAACACATGCCAGCCCTGTTTCAGTGCCAGTTCTGCCCATCTTCCAGATGTGCTATTTTGGACCAGCACCAATTCTGTGTCTGCGTTCCCTAATTTGTAATATTAAAATAACACCTTCCCTGTAGGACTGTTTTGAACATAAACCCAAAGAAAATCAAGAGCTGCTTAGCATAATAATATACCAAGCGGGCATTATTTAGAAGTGATTTCACTTCCTTAAGAAGCCTGTCCCTAGTGCGTCTCATTCTTCTCAAGCTTAAACTCCAAGCATATTTTTTTTCCCAATCCCCTGAAGAGTGAATCCGCCCCCGCCCACCCTACATCAGCTGCGACCCCAAGTAAGGCTGTTCCGGAGGCAGAACTTTAGTTCCGGGAACTGACCAAGGTGCCCGGAGGGCTTTGAGGACCGGACCGGAAGAGGCTCCTGCGGTTCCCTTTCCGTCCGGGAGGGCATTGGCGGACAGCCGGCGTGAGTGCTCCGGGTCGGTCACTGTGGACGCGGGACAGCGGCGTGGGGACTCCCTGAAGGTACAGCGGAAGGGGCCCCCGGAAGTGCGGCGACTCGAGCCCTCTCCGGCTCCTCCATGCTTGGTTGGAGGCTGCTGGCTCAGGCCGGCTTCCAGGTGCTGGGCCGCCGCGCCGGGGGCCTGGACGCTGCCTGGGGCTTCGGGAACAGGTGGGTGTGGACGAGAGACAGGCTGGGGTGAGTGGTGGTGCGGGGTGGGGGGTGGGGATGTCTCTCTCTCTCGCTCCTTCTCTCTCTCCCCCTCCCTCCCCCTCTCTCTCTACCTCCCTCCCCCTCTCTCTCTCCCTCCCTCCCCTTCTCTCCCTCCCTCCCTCCCCCACCCTCTCTCTCTGAGGTGGGGGGAGGGGTCCCTGCAATACTACGACTTTGAACAGTGGCATGGCCGGCACAGAGTGGTCTGCCCTGAGTGGGGGAGGAAGGCACTATGTCCAGACCTGAGGTATGGGCGAATGAGGAGCGTTACTCCAAGGGAGCTCTTAAAGGACTGAAGCGATGATTTTTGTTTTGTTTTTAATACCTATGAGCGACTGGCCGTGAGCATTACCAACAGCAATAATTTATCTATTAATTAGCGTTTTCTATGTATTAAATGCTCTTGTTCAGTAAATTAGGTGCCTTAGCTCTTGTAGCCTCACGTGAGATAACTATCATTATCTGTTTTTACAGAAACTATCGTTCCGTTTTGCAAATAAAACGGAGACTTGGGCAGAAGTAACTTGTCCATGGTAACTCAGTTAAGGAGTGCAAAATTGGGACTCTAACCTGTATAATCTACCTGACTATAAAAGGAGGATAGACAACAGAAAGTTTACTTCTTTCCTGACAGTCTGCTCAAAACTTACCAACCTCAGTCCCTGAAGCTCTTTCTTGGTGTGTTCAGCTGACCAGGGGTCATGTCTTTTACATATCTTTTAAATTTGCCACCCGGTTTCTTTACTCTGAGCCTAAGCCATGCCATTGCAGAGAAGAGGTGAGCTTATCAGAGAACGATCGCCATTCCCACATTCTGCCACTTTTACTGGATATAAACTACTAAGGTTCATGTACAAATGGTTTGTCCTGTGTGTAGGTAGGACTACTTTGTTAGAAAACTGTTTATCCCAGAAGAAAAGATGAAGTATTCCTCCGGGGTAACTATTAATAGTTAAAATGTGAGTCCCATTATTAGAAGGAATGCTGGGGGGTGGGGAGGGAATCTTGCATGAATCCAAGCCCTTTCTTAAGGCTCTGACACTTTCTAATTCATGTGACCTTCCTTCTCTGTATCAAATAGAGAAACTTGTGAATTGTGCTTTTTTTTTAATTTTTATTTTTACAGAACAGACATCTGGCTTTTAGTTAGAAGTCTCCATGGCAAGAGTGTTACTTGGTGGGACGAGCATCTCTCTGAAGAAAATGTTCCATTTGTTAAGGAGTTGGTCTCTGAGGAAGACAAAGCTCAATTAGCAAGTAAACTGTGTCCTCTGAAAGATGAACCATGGCCTATACATCCTTGGAAACCAGGTGGTTATTTTGTATATGATGAGTTCTCCTAATTACTTTGTGGCTCGCACACTCAAAATTATAGCGACTGCTTGATAAACTTATCATCACTTGAATTTACTTTCTGTGTCTTCAGTGTTTCTGTTTCATTGTGATTTGGTTTGCAAGTTTACTTCCAGCACCCTATTCTGCGGTTGGTGAACTTCTGATGATAATCAAGACTTACTGAAGAAGCTGTTTTGTTTGTGAAATGGAAATCATTTTGCATGCATTTCCTTGTTTCCTTCAAATAAAAATATATATATATATATAAAAAATCAGGGAAGAAAATCCAGAAGAGTCTGATCTAAATTGTGTCACACGGATGTCCTCAGTCAGGGTGTTCTGGCACTCCAGGTTTGCCCAGCATAACCCTAGAATCAGCTCTTTGTGCCTGGTAGAGTGCTAAACCTGTATGTGGACAGACCAAGAAGAATGAGGCCTTTCCAGTTCAGAATGTGATCTCTGGTTGAGGTTTATTGTAACAATTGAATTGTATGGTGGAGCAACTTCATCAGTTTATGTGACCAACCTAAGTGTCATGGTCAAGGGCAACATATTTTAACAATGTGACCACTTATGTCATCTTTATAACCCCAGCTAACACTTTAGAATTTGTAGTTGTAGATGTTTTCTAATTAATGAGGTTTGATATTTATCATACCCTCTGTTCATACCACTATTTTAAAACCAGAACATATCCATTTAACTGTTTTCTTTATTTTGTACAGTTCTTTTGTATTTGTTCATTATACAGAGATTTATTAAGTACCAATATCTTATGTCAGGCATGGTTGAAGGTGCTGTCATCTGTAAGGAACAGTTGTGTTTTCCTCTATGATTATATCAGCATGTTTCTTATGTGCCTGCTTCTTATTTTGAAACTGTGATTTAGGAAATTCTGATGCATCATGTTGGCAAATGTTGAAAAAGCTCATGTTAACATTCATTGGGTTTTAATTGCCAGGTTCTGCTAGAGTAGGCCTTGTCGCACTGAAGCTGGGCATGATTCCTTTTTGGACCAAAGATGGTCAGAAACATGTGGCCACATTACTTCAGGTAAGAAACAGGAGATCTCACAGACCTGTATGTGTGCCAAGATCTATTTGTGCAAACCGGAATGGGCAGCATTTGTATCCTGAATCCTAACTGTGTGGTGAAGAAGGTTAATATTGAGCATAAATACTACTAAAGAACTTTACGTCTAATAGTTCCAGTAAATGTTCTCACTCTTGCCTGAGTAGTGGCCTTGTTGATACTGGCATGGGAAAATTGAGGCACTTTACAGAAAAGATTTTAACAATTGTAACCTAGCTTATCACAGATCTACTAGTTTAATTTATAATCAGAAAAAACCTCAGTTCCATCTTATTTTCATTATGAAGTTCTTTCAACTCCCGGATAAGTTTGATCTTTTTGCTAACTCAGTGGAACACTCTTGTCAGGGGAAGCAGCATTTTCTCTGAGATGAGGTAAACTCTAATGTTTAATAATGTGGAACCAGAATACCTGACTTCAAGTCTTGGTTCTGCCACTTCCTGTCTATGTTCTTTGGAGCACTGTGTCTCATCTATAAAATATATACTATTCTGTAAAAGAAATAATTATGACCTACCTCAGAAATTTATGGTGAGGGTTGCACAAGATGGTAAACGTCAAACACTTAAAATGTAAAGCAGTATTAATGTCCAATAAATGTGGACTACTGTTAAAGAGGTAGCTGATAAAGTTAGGAGACCCTCATTCCCCAAATCACTTGGACAATTCAGTTCATCTTTGGGGCCCAGCTTTAGACAACTGATGAGGCAGGTGATGGTAATTAAAATAAGAGCTCATGCACATAAGTACACAAGTGTTAGTAGGCGTAAGGAGTCTAAAAGCCCTTAGTAAATTTTTATTGACTCTAAATGATCAAGGATGGAATTATAGTTTCTAGAACTCTAAGGAACTTTGGGGGCTTTTGGGAATGATTGGTAGGATTGTAAATTGGTATGACCACTTCAGAAAATGATTTATCTTTATGTGGTGAAGTTGAGGTAAGTGAGTCTTGTAGTCTAGCGATTCCATTCGTGAGTGTTACTAGAAGATTTAAACAGGTATGCACCATGATAACTGTACAACAGTGTTTACAGCAGTCTTTCTCTTAATACTCCAAAGCTAGAAATAACCCAAATGCTCATTAATGGTAGAATGGGTAAATTATGGCCTATTCATGTGATGGAATGCTGGGTAGCAATGAAAAGGAGCAGAATGGAGCTGTGTGCAACAATATGGACAAACCTTACAAATGTAATCTTGAGTGAAGGGGGGTAAGACATGGAAGAGTACAAACAATTGGATTCCATTTATATAAAGTTCAAAGCAGATAGCACTAAACCACATTATTCCGCAATACTTTTGTTATAATAAAGAAAAGTATAGGAAAGGATTACTATGAAGGCAAGAGTAGTAGTTATTTCTAGGCAGTCCATCTCAGTGTGTGCCTCAGAATCGCCTGGAGGGCTTCTGAAAAACCAAGGTTCTGATTTAGTAGATCTTGCAGAGGCCGAGAACCTGCATTTCCACCAAGTTCCCAGGTGATGCTGATGCTCCTTGTCTGTGGACCACACTTTGAAAGCCACTGCTTTAGGGGTTTGAAAAAGAAAAAGGAGTGGGGGTTGGTGATTGGGAAAAGACACCAACCTTCTTGACATGGTTTGATGCACATTTTCTTTATAAATACTCATTGTGTTGTATATTTGTGTTTTATGCACTGTTTTATATGTGTTGTATTCAACATTTTTTTTTCAAAAGTTCCGTATTTTAAGATTGTGGTTGGTGTTAGAGGAATAAGTAGCTTGAAGGGAATTACTAATGTCCTAGGGCCTCAGCGTGACTGGTGTGTAGTGTTAAAATGTACCTTGGCACAGACTTAGTTGTTTTTTGCTTTTATATTTGTGTTTATAGGTACAAGATTGTCATGTCCTAAAATATACTCCAAAGGAAGACTGTGATGGAAAAATGGCAGCCCTAACTGTAGGAGGGAAGACTGTATCCCGTTTCCATGTAAGGATGTATTTTCATTCCTAGGACAGTAACATTTTATTAGTTTCAGACCTGAATTCTTTAAGCTTTGAGCATATTCCATTGCCACAGGCTTGTATTTCTCCATGAGATAAATTGTGGGTTTGGGAGAGGCTGTCTAGTAGAGCCGTTGAGCCCTGGAGTCTGAGGGACTGGGTTTGTTCCAGCACCTCTCTGTGCTGTCTCAAGCAAGTGACCTTACCCTGTAAGCCGCAGTACTTGCCCATCTGTAAAGTGAGGATAAAAATACTGCGTGTGTAAGAGGTTTGTTACCAGGATTACATGAGGATTTTCAGATGTGCCTGGCATGTAACAAATGCTCGATAATAACCTTTTTTTAAAAATCATTTTGTTGTTTTATGTTTAGTTTCACTTTTATTCTAAATTGTTCCAATAGTTGGCAACAACAGCATGAGGGTTAATTTTGTATATTTTTCAAATGAAGCAGTTTTTCCCCCAGATGGAATACTAATAGAATGCTGAGTTTGTAGTTTAAATTTGAAAAATCTGCACAATTAGTATCTTTTATTGGATGACTAAAAGAAGAGAATACCTTTCTAGATATAGTGATGGTTTTCATTAATGGATGCTGAAACATCTTTAGGTTTACTAAAATGTTTATCTCTAAGATAAACATTTTCCCATTGTAAATTGTGAAATGAACATGGATGGAAATCAGGGTACAATCTGTACTATGCAAGTGTCAAAACTAGCAAGCGCTTATTGTGTACCTCCTGTTTCTTTGTCATAGGTAACTTTTTTTGAGCACCTAATAAATACATACTGGGTACATAAGCATTAAACCTTTACATTTATTAAGTCATCTTTTTAGCCTCTGAGGCTAAAGAGAGTTAGCAGCTCACTCAGGGTCACCCACCGGTAAGAGGCAGAGGGACAAGCAGACCCTAGAGCCTTACTTTCTGAACTATGACTTGATGTCCACACTCTGGGAACGCATAAGCTAACGGGGAAGATGGACAAGTGAATCAGCCACCTCAACATCGTATTAAGTGCAGCAAGCACAGAATGGGGGATGGCCCCTCCTGGTTGGACAGGTCCTCCGAGGTTTCACAGGAGGGAGACCAGGAAGGAGAATGTATTAAAGGCATGCCAGAGGGAATGGTCTCTGTAGAAGCAGAGACATGTAGAAGAGTATGTGTGCTTGGAAATAGAAGTGTGATGTGTCTTGATCGTGTGGGTGTGGGTGTGGGGCCCTGGGGAACGTAGAAAAAGCCTAGCTGTCAGGGTAGAGGGCTAAGGAGTTTAGACTTCATCCTGTAGACCCAACGGTGCTTTCTGAACTCTTTAACCAGGGTAGTAAGGGGGTCAAATTGTTACCTTGGGTAAATAAATGCTAAGAATCTGGATGGCAGGAGGATATTTAGGAGGTTGACTTAAGCACTAGGGGAGAGTTAATAAAGGAGAGCGGCACTGAGTGGGCTTGGAAGGAGCAGGGGTATGTGAAAGACTGTGAGTGTGAATGTGTGGTTAGGAGACTCAGACACCGAGCGCTTTCGGACTAGGTCAGTGCTCATGCTGGAACCTTGAATAGGGACAAAGAAAGGGAAAGGGGAGGAAAGATATGTTTGAAATGTTGAGAGAAAATCTAGGTCAAGTTGTCTTGTAAACAGTGATATACGTGTATACTGATCAGTAAATGGCTGGTAGTTGAAATCACCCCAGTCATACAGTTTATAGGATTATTGGCCGTGTAGGCCTGTCTCATGAGTATTAGAGAAGTTAGCTATTTGTATATATTATGGTAATATAGTTTATGTTTCATGAAGGCATTGTAGCAATATGTATCCTGCTAATAATTTTGGACAATTTATTGATTAAAAATTTCAGGGTTCAATAATTCCACAGTAATTAAAAGCACAATGACGTATTTATGGAAACTTCTTTTTAAATGCCAAATATTTGAATTTTTAACTGTATAAATATATGTCAGCCTTCATCTGAATTATGTGAATAATTCTTTGGTTTAATAGGTGCCGCTGTTTTCTAATTGATTGTATTTCCATTTGTTATGACTAGCATCATCTTTACTTTTATCACCAATTATTGTAAATTCACAACTTTACAGCCTTGATATTTGTAAATCGAGCATCATTTTGGGATAATCCATTCTGCATCAACAGATCCATGAGCATTACTTCCTTACAATAATGAGAGAGTGGAAAAGTGAGTAGACATAGGGTCAGAAGAGCTGAGTTCTAACCCTGACCTCCACCATCACCTCTTCACGCTGCCTTTTAGAACATCGATTTTCTTACCCATCCAAACGGGATTGGCCTTGATGGTCTCCAAATTCTCTCCTACTCTTAAGTCTCAAGTTGGTTCTCTAATATTTTAGTTTTCAAGAAAAAAAAAAAAAAGTTATAAAAAAAATACTTGTCAGCTCAGTTTATTGTGTTTCTTAGTGATGATGTCTTACAAACATTTATTAATAAATAGTAATAGCTAAAACATTACAGAAATGATTGTAATGCACAACCTAAACTTTTAGTACTGTTCTCTTCCCTAGTGTAGAAAGTTCTGCAGACGCCTTTCTTATTCTTCAGTATATGAATTTTCTAGGTCCAGAGGACATGTATTACTAGATTAAGAAAAAGCTTTGCCTCTGAATGACCTTTCTTCAGAATGGCATATGAAAGTGAAGTTATAGAATTCTTTATAAGTAAAGCATTTTGATCCAGAAAGGAAAAAGAAATTTTAAACTGGAAGTATACAACCTTCCTCTTGATAGTAACCCTTAGGGAAACTGCAAGTAGATAGGTTATAAAACGTTTTTAAAGAAAAAGAAAGGCCTTTGAATATTATCAAATAGTTAAGCATTCTAAAATAAATTGAATCAGTTTTATTTATAATAAAGCTAAAACTGTTGTTTTTTAATCTGGAAAAGATTTATGCCTCCAAGAATTGGAGTCACTTTGCGTTTGCTATTTTTGTACCTTATTATAAATGAAAACTGATGTGATACATAGTATTTTTGAATAAGGAAGTTAAATAGCCTTACACATTGATTAAATCAATTTATCTTAGGAGCTTAGAGGCATTTTCATTGTAATAGGATAATTGCAGAAGACCTGGAAGAGGGGGAGAAAATGCGGTCTCATAGATGGGACTATCCAACTGTGACATAGCTGTCAGTCTTAAATTGCCTTTGAAATTATTTATTTGGAAGTTATACACACAGAAAAAAATCCCCTTTGTTACAGTGCTGCTGGTTTCAACTCCACTTGAGCATTTGATTTTTCTCATATGACTGGTACCTACCTAGTTATATGATATTTTGATTTTTAAAAGAAAAATGGAATTGTTAATTTTAGTGAAATTGGAAGATAATCAAGTACATATTACTTTTTTTTATGTCGCAGTCTCTAGTTAGGTCAAGGTGTTTATCTTGTCTGTTTCGTATTACTAAAAAAGTAAAGGATTCCCTCTGAAGCCTCCTGGCATACCTAAAAACTGATATTAACAAAATAACATGCTTCTTAAACCACCAGGTGGAATATATGAATGTTAAAAATTGAAGTCTGTTGTAAAATTTAATATATCTGAATCTGGTTCATCAGGAAAATTGTATAATTTCAAGGGGCCTCATTTTTAAATGAAAACTTTTGTGATTGCTTATGTTATGGAATTAGTCAGTATGATTAAAAATGAAAAGCCAGGACCTTGGTAATGTTAGTCTCAGGTTTCAGCAAGTGGGAAGTGAAAGCCTAAAGAATGACTGAAATGAGCTTATGTTACCACTCTTGGAAGAAGGGCTAGCTTCTTGAGGGAACTCTTTGAGCTACAAAACAGTTGGTGGTGGATGTTGATGCAGAGCTGCTCGGCATTTGTTGCACGGTCCTGCCTGAGGGCCCCAGGGTGACTCCCAGGGAGTGTGGACTGATCCAGAAATTAAAATCTATGCTCACAGGCCAGTGCCACCCAATTTCATGTCCACAACAGTCAGCCTACTCAGTAAGTTATAAAGGGGCACTAACAGTTCTCATTTTAAATTGAAATGAGCAGGTCCCTAAAGTTTGCAACATAATCAAGTAAGTTCGGCCTTGCATATACTCCATTGGATTTGGGAGTGGGGAGTGATGCTTTGTTTCAGTACATCATCTGGAGCCGGTTAGAGTTTTTCAGTTGCTGATCTCCTTTGTTTTTAAATTACAAATTACTGTTGATTTGGTTTTATAGTAGTTTGGTTTCATGTAAATTTGTTCATCCTCCAAATAAGTCATGATGTTTATTTTAGGCCTATAAACTTTTTAGTAACTAGAATTAAAGACAGAGGCCACACGTCAAGCCACAGAAACCGTAATGTTGTGGGCTAAGAACTGATGCAGCAGCAGTAAGAACAAAAAGGTAGGGTGTCTGATGTCTTGGAGAGACAAACCAGGACTTCACACCCGAATGGATGTCTGTCCTCCATCTCTTCGTCTTTTCACCATCTGTTTAGCTCACTTCACTTTGCATGTCTAAAGTGAGCTAAAGTTATAGACACACATGAATGAAACAGCCCCTACTATCCAGGGCCTCACAGGCTAGCAGGCAGGTAGACATATAAGTTAAATAAATGAAAGATAATGTGGATGACAATTGATATATATGCAAGGTCTAGCGATGGCATAGATGAAAGAGCAGTCTGCTCTGGCAGGCTGCGCAGGGTGGGATCTCGACAGGAAATATCACTGCAGCTGGGGCTAAACATATATTTAACAGATTTTAAATGAGCTTTGGTGGTACAGGGTGGGGAGGAGATTGTAGGACAAGAGACTGGCAAAGGTAGGCACAGGTAAGCATGCATAGAATTCCATGGCTCATTGAAGGCCTGCTGGTGCCTCATTTATGATTAGAGGGGAGGTTGAGGGAGAGGGAACAACAGGAAGATAGACATACCTATGTTGGCTGTATTCTTATGAGACAGGCAGTCTTTACATCAGGAAAATATTAGCTGGTAAAACTTTTTTGGCAAGTCCTATAGCAGTCTGTATTAAGAGTCTTAATTAAAAAAAGACCCAGGACATTGTGGTAACAAAGTAATATGTCTGTAAAGTTTCCCGTTCAGGCATAGTTAAGAATAACAGAAAAACAGAAGGTGGGGACTTAGAGAAAAGGGGACAGTGGACCTACCAGGAGCTGCAGACACAGCAGCAACTGAAGTCTCTGCTCTCAAGAAGTTTACATTTTGGTGGGATTAGGGGTGAGACAAGAAGGCTGTTGCATAGAACATAAAAAATTAAAACTGTACATCATGATAAATTGAGATTAGTGTTTTGTAATAAAGTAGACTGGAAGGATTGTGAATGACAAAAAATGCTATTTTAGACAAAGTAATCAGGAAAGGTAAATTGATGTGTGGATGGAGACCTGAATAAAGTGAAGTGATGAGTCATGCACAAATCTGGGAGAAAAGCATTCTATGAAGGGGGAACAGTATGTGCAAAGGACCTGAGGCCATTGATCAGTGTGGTCTCAGACTACTAAAGAATGCATTGTACCTGAAGCAGAGTGAGCCAGGAGAAGAGCAGTACACGAGGTCAGGTTGTATAGAACTTTATACACCGTGGTAAGGACTTCGGACTCGAGCCCGCATGACTTGGAAGCCATTGTAAATATGTGAAATAGCCTGAGTTGTAAAAAGAACGTACCAGCCTGTGCATGGAGAACAGACCAAGGGTCAGGAGTGGGAATTTTGAAGACTACTTTAGGAGTCTATTGAAGTAAAGCAGAAGATGGTCCGGTGGAATGGGGAGTGAGAAGTAGTTGATGTGGGCTGTGTTTTTAAGTAAACTCTACAGGCATTGCTGGTGGATGGGACATGGGATGTGAGAAGAAAATAAAAGTCAAAGGTGACCGGGAGATTTTTCATCCAGCAACAGAAGTATGGAGTTGCCATTTGTTGAGATTTGGAAGACAAGAGGAAAGCAGGCTTGGAGAGAGAGGGGGAGAATTGAGTTCAGCTTTAGACCAGTTAAACTTGAGTTACTGTTTGACATCAAAGTGAGATGTTGAGTTGGCAGCTGGGCATAATGAATTCGTAGTTCAGAGTAGAATTTGGGATTAAAGTTACAAATATGGGGTCAGTAGCATAGGGAACCAAGGGAGCAGTGACTAAAATTCTTTCAAGGAGAAGAGTGGTCACCTGTGTCAAACGTTGCTGATAGAGTCAATAAAATGAGTATTGACCAGTGTATTTGACCACGTGGAGGTGTTGGTGAACTTGACACACACTTTCCACTGAGTATTGGGGCTGAAAGCACCTGACTAAAGTAGGTTTGAGAGAATTCAGGGAGAGAAAATAGACCCAGCAACTCTCTCAGGGAGTGTTGTAAGGGAAAATGGAAAAATCAGCTGAAGGAGGCTGGCTAAGGCAAAGTTTTGTTTTAACATATGAGTCACTGTGACAACTTGGTATAGCAATAGGAAAGTTTCAGTAGGAGGGAGAAATTAGTGATTCAGAAGACAATGGGGACAATTTCAGTAGTAAAGCCACTGAATAAATGAGAGGCGTTAGGAATGAGACACGGCTTTTAGTAAGAGCATGGACAACTCATCTGTCGTTGTGATGCCCACCCCTTCTCACAGCATAGTCATGGAGTGCTCTAAGAAAGATACTGAGGCCAAGATGCCCCGTAGACCAGCGAAGGGACAGTGTCCAAGCTGAGGGCCCTGGGCGTTGGCATTTTCTAAAAGCTCCCCATGTGCATCTCGGGCAACCTGCGGTAAGGTGATAGAAGGACAGTGTACAAGTATAAGTGACAGTGCACCCCGTTAGATGGATTAGGTGATGGAGTTGGGCAAGTGCTCTTAATTCTTCTGTATTTTTTTCAATGATGTAAGAAGCAACATGGTCAGCTCAAAGGGGAGAGGAGGAGGAAACAGTGCTGGAGGATTTAAAAGTGGTTGTGCTGTAGCTGCCTTGGAGAGTGTAAAGGATTTAACCAGGGAAAGCCAGTGTAGGTTGGCCAGGCCACATTTGAGATTCACTTTGAAGTTTGTGGTCATACGTTTGAATGTGACCTACCGTGTTTTCTTCTAGCTGCTTGGAAAGAGATGTTGAGTAGACAGAATTGAATTTCCCAGGATTGGGGTTCTTGATACATGGTCTCCAGTGAAAATTCAAATATGAACACAACTCTGTTTCTTTTCCTACAGAACAAAGATCTTTCCCCATGTACTGAATATTAACTACATTGTGCACATGGTGGATCCTATGTGTAATGGATGAAAATCTCACCTCCCTTCAGTAAGGGGGATAGGGTGCTCTTTCTTTGTTCATTAGGAGAAGAGAGTGCTCTTTGATTTGTTTCCCAGTGTGTTAATAACTTGGTTTAGATCTGTATTCAACACCATCTTTAGTATTTAATGTGTTATTTATGTGTGCTGCTTTTCCTCTAGAAATCTACACCTAAATTGGAATTTTACCAAGAACTTGGATTGCCACCGAAACAGAAAACTAAAATCTTTCGCATAACAGATAATGCTGCAATTAAGCCAGGTAATCTGAGGTTGGGAGAAGTGGGAGGTGAAAATACCCAAGTATGTGATTTGTTTAATGTCAGCCCTTTCAATTAAACTAAATCCACCGTACAAAGTCCCAAACAGTATGTGGATGTCACAGCCAAAACATAGATCCACATAATAGGTTCTCTTTTTCTTTTGCTTTCCTCATGTGTTAAAAAATAATAGCAAGTGAAAGAAGTACAGTTTTTCAAGTTAGTGAATATAAGTAACCATTTATTTTTAAATGTAAAAACATATCTGATTTAGTCACTAGAAACAAACAAGTCTTTTTTCAGTGAAAAGAACTGTAGAGAACTCTTTGTTTTCCATCAAAGAGGGAGGAACACTTTTGTTTTTAATGTACAGAGAGTTTCACATCTGGAAAAATCTCTCCAAGTAAATAGATCAACTTTTAAAATGTGAAGTTTACTGTGTGTAAGCTGGCATTTTATTAAGTGGAGAAGAGCAATACTTCCACTGAGATAGAAGAATTTGAAAATATATAGCCTGAAATTGGATGGTGACCAACCGTTGCACTGGGATGTAAAGGTTATTATTACTTACAAATTTCAAAATATTTTACCTAATCCATGGAATATCAAAAAATGAGATTTGGCAATATGGCTATATGGGTTTATGTACCGTAATCAACAGCATTTGATGCCTTTAAACTTCAGAAGAGCTCTCTGATCTCTTGAACTTGAGTTCTAACAAGTACATAGTTTTAAGATTTGGTATTTTAGTATCTGACCTGAATTTTTTGAAGTAAAATACAATTGTAATAGACCTTGGGAATAACAGAGGGTAAGCCTTGGTATAAGTTAGAATTAAAAGATATTTTTTGAAGTGCAAGTTTTGCAATTAAATGGAATTAAACTAACCAGTGTAAAAATTAAGCCCACGTTAGCTTTTGCTGTGGCTCAGACCATGTGAAATTCTTTCTATGGATGAAAAGTAGTAAAATATCAGCAGTTCAGGTCAGTTAACCTCATAGAAATTTTTAATCTCTCCTGTTTTTCTTTTTCTTTAATTTTATTTTTCAATTACAGTTTACATTCGTTATTTTATATTAGTTTCAGATGTACAACATAATGATTAGACATATACCTTACGAAAGTGGTACTCCTGATATTCAAGTACCCACCGGGCACCATATGTAGTTATTACAGTATTAATGACTATAGACTGTATTAACTGTGCTGCACTTTACATCCCCATGACCGTTTTGTGACTACCAATCAATTTGTACTTCTTATCCCTTCACCTTTTTTACCCAGTGCCCCAGCCCGCCTCCCCTCTGGCAACCATCAGTCTGTTTTCTGCAACTATGAGTCTTGTTTTTATTTTGTTTGTTCATTTATTTTGTTCTTTAGATTTCACATATAAATGAAATCATTTGTTATTTGTTAGTCTGACTAATTTCACTTAGCATAGTACCCTGTAGGTCCATCCATGCTGTCACAAATTCTCCAATTTTTTCTTATTTCAAGGTCTTTCTCTCCCTGTACAAATCCAGGTTAGGTGCTACCTTAAAGGGTACTACCCTTTGGAATTCTACAGCACTTTACTCCCAGTTTTAAACAAATGAACAGAAATTATCTTCCCACACATTCTCTACTACATCGGGTCTAGCTTTTTTAAATTATTTTAATTAAAAATTTTTTTTAAATTCATGTATACTTGGTATACACTATTATATTAGTTTCATTAGTTTCAGTTGTACAATATAGTGTTTTGACATTTTTATACATTATAGTGTGATGACCCCACTAATTCTAGTGATTGTCTGTTAACTGTGCAAACATATCATGATATTATTGACTATATATCCCTTCACCTTTCTCACCCATCTCCCCACCTCCTCCTTTCTTGTAACCATCCCTTAGGTCTCTGTTTCTATGAGTTTGTTTTTGTTTTATTTGTTCATTTGTTTCTTTTATAGATTCCACATGTAAGTGAAATCACACAGTATTTGTTTTTCTCTGCCTGACTTATTTCATTTGGCATAATACCCTGTAGATCCATCCATGTTATCGCAGGTGGCAAGATTTTATTCTCTTTTATTGCTGCAGAATATTTCATTGTGTATATATACCATATCTTTTTTATCCATATGTCTATCTAGGCTGCTTCCATATCTTGCTGTTGTAAATAATGCCACAGTGAACATAGGAATGCATGTATCTTTTTGAATTAGTGTTTTCATTTTCTTTTGATAAATACCCAGAAGTAGAATTGCTGGGTTCTATGATACATCTATTTTTATTTTATTTTAATTTTCAAAAAATACCCACCTGAGGACATGCTTATTCATTTTAGAGAGAGGGGAAGGGAGGAAGAGAGAGGAGACAAACTGGTGTGAGAGAGAAACATTGATCAGTTACCTCTTATACACCCCAGACCGGGGACTGAACCAGGATGTGCCCTGACTGGAATCAGACCTGAAACCTTTGTATTTATGGGATGATGCTCCAACCAACTGAGCCACACCAGCCAGGACTAGTATACCCATTTTTAGTTTTTTGAGGGATCTTCATACTGTTTTCAACAGTGGCTGCACCAGTTTGCAGTCCCACCAACAGGGCACAGGGTTCCCTTTTTTCCGTGCCCTCACCAGCACTTGTTATGTGTTTACTATGACAACACCCATTCTGACTGGTGTGAGGCAGTATCTTACTGTGGTTTTGATTTACATTTCCCTGATGATTAGTGATGTTGAGCATCTTTTCATATATCTGTTGGCCACCTGTATGTCTTCTTTGGAGAAATATCTTTTCATGTCCTCTCATTTGATGATGTAATGTTGACTCTTCACCTAGATGATAAATTTTTAAGGTGAATTTATTGGGGTGACCCTGGTTAACAAAATTATACAGGTTTCATCCCACAGTTCTACAACACACCATCAGTACACTGTGTTGTGCGTTCACCACCCCAAGTCGAGTCCCCATCACCGTTATCCCCTATACCTTCAACCGCCTCGCCCATCCCCCATTAGATAATAATTCTTGAGGTCAGGAGCCATGTCTTACACTTTGGTATTTCTAACTTTACCTATTGTAAGTGCCCTATAAAAGTTTGGAGATTAATTGCCAAATTAAATAGTTCTTATAAGTGTTAATTCCAAATTTATCTAAATACTGTGAAGGGTTTTGAGCTACAAGATTCCATTACGTAGCATATTTCCCAAGTACAATTAAGGTAAGAATTTATTTACTTACAACTAGTTTTGAAAATGTTAGTATATAAAATTAGGGGGATCTATAGTAGCACATTCCAAGTATCTGGCCACATGACAGAATAACTGTATTTTACCAGAATAATGATGGGTCTCCCAAAAATCTGATGTGTATGGGCTTTATAGGGATATTATACACACTATAATTATTACCCAGAGAATGATGGCTCTGTGTTCAAATAATTCAGGTTTCTATTTTGGACAATTTATCCCCAATGGGTAAAAAATTATTTGATCTAGCCCCAACATTTTTTGTCATTCTCTTTTTGTCTTATATGAAAAAGAAAAATAGGAAATATACCTTAATTTAGTACATTGTTTCTCACCGAAACAACCAAGTATCATCCAACTTGTGTATTTACCAGCTGGAAACACTGTGCTGGCACAAGAACTGCCTGTTTCAGGCAGCACCACGTTGACCGCTGTGAAGACGCACCGTCAGCCTGCCGTGGTCTGTGGGCTTACTCTAGCGCCACGTCCCTTGTACTGGGGCACATTGTTCTTTAACCCTTATAGTCAGTTAAAGCATGTTTGTTGAATAATTTTGTTATCTTATAGCTGGTGTTTCTGCAGTAATTATAATTGCAAAAGAGAATCTCCTACTATTTTTGAAATCTCTTATCCAAAATGCTTCCTGGGTGATGTTTATGTTTAGTGAAGTTATTTCTGGGCAGACAAACTTCATGGTTTTTTTTTTGTTTTTTTGTTTTCTTCATAAAGGCACTCCTCTTTATGCTGCTCACTTTCGCCCAGGACAGTATGTGGATGTCACAGCCAAAACGTAGGTCCTCATAACAGATTCTCTTCTTTTGTTTTCCTTGTATATTGAAAAATAACAGCAAGTGAAAGTAGTACAGTTTTTCAAGTTAGTGAATAAAATTTAAGTAACCATATTCTCATTCTTAATTCTAATCTCTATTACTGACTCTACTGATTTTTAAGTTTAATTGAATTAGTTGTATGTGAAGAGTCATATCAGGTTACAGCTTTTAAACTGAGATGAGTGCTTCATTAAGTGGGACTAAGGGAAAGGTCACACCACGTGGGTTCTTTGTGGGATGGGCCCATCTCTGTTTAGAATACCAAAGGCTAGATACAGTTTGATAGTGAAATAAACATGAGCAGTGCTATGGAGTTCTTCTGAGATTATTGTATAGTTTACTAATTGATGGTTCTCCAATTCTAGGATATAGTTAAGTTGGAAACATTTTATACTATTTGTGGTAGTGGTGGTTGTTCCTAAGTTTGCCCTTAGGTAAATAGAAATCATTTTTTGTGTCAAAAGCTACTTACAATAAGGAAGAAGAAATAGTGTTACACCTTAAGTAATATTACACCTCTTAATTAGCATGACATTATCTCTCAGTACTACATAAGTGAGACTTCTTCCATAAAACCAAATTTTTTAATATACTGAAACAAAGGTTTCATTTGATACAAATCAACACTGAATTGTCACTCTAAAAGAAATACTAATTATGAGTCATAATTAGACTGGATAGTGGTATTTTTGGCACTATAGTTTTTTCATATTTTTACCATCTCTCAGCTTAAGATAAGCACAGTGCCGGCTAGATGACCTCCAGGAAACACTTAGATTTTAGAAAAGTAATTTTTCAAAAATTAGTTGAGGTTGCTTCACTATGGAATGAAGTAATTGAGTCCTAATATGTATTTATGTAGAAATTGTTCAGCATAGGTTATTAGGATCCACATGACTTAGGCTAGATAAAGTCCAAATATCAGCACTTGTCCATTCCTGTTTCTTGATATATCAGCACCAATGACAGTTTTACTCCTTTATGTGCCTCAATTTTTTTTTTTTAATAATTTGACAGTCTGCAGCCTGTGTTCCAGGAATATTCTGACTAGGAACCCTTTGAGAGTGAACAGTGATCCACAGGTGCTCCAGGATAGTATTAAGATCACAGTGACAGATCCAAAACAGCTAAATTATCAAAGGAAATCAGACGACTGTAAGCATCAGTTTCCTTAACACAGTCAGTTAGAGACATCTTCATTTCCACAGTGTTATTGCCTACTTTCAAATGTGGACCGTTGCAGACAGTTGCTAGGTGCCTTTCCCTTTGATGAGCTTTTTCGAAGTCAAGTGGGATAGGTTGGCAGTAGAGTGAGTTCTCTTTTTGCGAAGTAATGAACGTTTCCCTATTTTTCTCCACTCCTTGATTGTTGGGGACTTATTCCTGCTCATTGGGGCCTCTAAAAGCATTGGTTGCTTGGTGACTTTGTTTATTCCACCTTGTCAAGAACCCAAAATGTGGAGCTATAAAGCTCTGGTTTGGTTAGTTGGGAGTTGTGTGTGTTCTGAATTCAATTATTTTACTTTTTAAATTTCTGAATTAATTATTACATATAATAAAATACCTCACAGTAATTCTGTAAGTTTAAACACAGTTAATAGGGTGTGAATTCCATTACATATATTATAGGATATATGGGATGTTCTGAAAACCCCTGGGAAGTCAGAGGCCTTTGTTAGCCAATACTTTACTACAGGATTTGTGACTGGCTCGGATCAGAGCCTTGCTTTTCAAATGCTTGTGTTCAGTAAAGGCTTTTATTTCATATGCTACTGTTGGGTTTCCTTGGCTTCTTAGAAGTTATCTTGAAAACTCCTGCCTTCTTCTTGTGAGTATAAAATGAAAGGGGGAAATACATTGGTTTGTTTTGTGTTTTAAGATAATATACCTATAAAACAAGATTCTGTAAAGCCATGTGCCAGACTCAGAACTAGAGACCTGACAGAAGAGCTGGGAGGATAATTAGCCCTGGGATTTAAAGTAGTTGACGTGTAACTCCGGAGGAGGGAGGGCCTTCGTGTGAGAAGATCCTCACAGTGGTGTTGGTTGAAGTACAATATTCTGTTGGGCTGTCACTGTGTAACTGTTTGGGGGAGGATTACCCCACATGTGTGTGTGCTGCACTCTGGTGTGGTGCACCTTTGCATGTGGTATTGCCTGAGAGCAGAATGAAATGGACTTGACCTGACCTTTTGCTAAGAGTTTCTGATGACTATAGCTCTTGTAGCTGACATGTTATTACAGCCTCAATATGCTTGTAAGTGCTTGTAAGTTTGCAGGATTGTCCTTCTCTTGGGGAACCTGTTTGAATTACTTCTGCGTACATTTGCCACTGGCTTCCCTGGGTTGTAAGGTGGGTCGGAGTGTGGTTGTAGGTGTGTATACATTTGCTTGCTTTTATTTTTCCTTTTGAAATTCTTCTGTTTTTCCCTGATGCTTCTTATTTTTTTAGACAGTTTCTCCTGCTTTGCGTTTAAGTCCTTCACAGCCAATGAGAATGTTTTTTTCCTTTGTCGAATGTAAACAGAACCATCATCTTTCGGGAGTGTGCCCTGAGGCCTCAGTCCCTTACTGTGGCTCGCTGCTGCCAGAGATTAACTGTTGGGCTGGCCAAAAAATCCATTTAGTTTTTTCCTTAAAATAAAAGGCACATTTTTCATTTTCACCTGTAACTTGATTGATTTGGATGTTTGAGTACGTTGGCTGTCTCCCGCATGTTAGAACGTTGATGGTTCTCAGTTGATGTCTCAGTCTGATCGCCATCAACATCAACTGGTCGCCCCAACAGTGGGGCACCATCCAGTGAGAAATCTGCAGCATGAACCTTCGCAGACCACTTTTGACTTGTTTGATCAGTCACAGCACCTTCTCCATACACTGTACAAATCTTTTTTTTTGCATTTCAGTTGCTTTTTTATCTTTCTTGAATTAACAAAGCATAATATGCAGAAAATGTGTATTTTACATCTTCAGTATTAACGTGGCTACCCAAAAATTCGTCAATTTTGATAATTTTTTAAAAATGCACACTGATATGACAGCTGTCACAATACAATCGAACAAAATTGTTTTGAATGAAGTTAAAGACTGCTAAGCATTACGAGAGTCATGTTACGACAAAAAACAAACTTTTTGGCCAGCCTGTGCTTTGTCCTCCATTTCCAACCCCTGTTTTAAAATTTTGAAACTTTGGGGCTCCATCTTCTTCATAATTAACCCTGATACAGTTGAAGAAACTAGGGCGGAAGATGTGCACTGACATGGTTAGGTCAGATTTTGATGGACATGGATTTATAGACTGGAGTGTTAGTTCTCAAACTTGAACGGGCCTCTAAATCTCCAGGAGGGCTTGTTAAACGCAGAGTACAGGTGATGGGACCTCCCCACCCCCATCTTCGGAATCGGTAGATCTGGCCTAGTACCTGAGAAATTGCGTTTCTAACACGCTCCAAGGTTAAGTGAATGCTACGAGTCCAGGAAGCATGCTTTGCGAACCACTGGACTGGAGGGCAGTCAAGAGCTCACCACTTCTCAACCCAGCGCAGAATCCTAGTACCTTCTCCTTAACGCTACTCAGATTTTAACACATAAACATGTTTTAAAGCAAATGAGCTTGAGCAATCTGGTTTCAAATAACATTGTCAATAAAACTCGGCCTGTTTATTACTCACATTTTAGTTAGCATGAAATAAAAAACTGGTCTCTTTACTAATTGGCTTCATTATCTTCCTTCCATTAGAAAAGAGAAAAACCTCAAATTAATCTGTAATTGAATTCTTTGTTTTTCTCATGTTATAATAATTATAAAACTTACTCTTGTTTTGAGTATTTCAATTTTAATTGCTAGATTAAGCATGCTTTAGAAATAACTAAGTAAGAAAATTTAAAACCAAATACTGTTTAAGGGAATAGTGTTAATAGACTCCATCTACTTCAGAAATGAAATTGCCTGCAGATTTTTTTTTAATTTTTATTTTTATTTTATTTATTTTTAGAGAAAGGGGAAGGAGGAAAGAAAGGGAGAGAAACATCAATGTGCAAGAGAAACGTTTATTGGTTGCCTCCCGCATGCCCCCAGCTGGGGACCTGGCAGCAACCCAGACATGTGCCCTGACCAGGAATTAGACTGGTGACCTCTTGGTTTGCGGGATGATGCCCAGCCCATTGAGCAACACCAGTCAGGGTCAGACATAAGTGACCAGTGGCTAACAGTAACAGCTTCTTTTTGAAGACTTCCTTAAGATTTTTAAATGTTCGTCAACAATTATATTGGGAAATTGCTTACATTGAAAGATACCTTGTGTTTACCTGTGCTAAATTTGGGTATAATTCTCCATTTAAATAAGTAAATTTATTTGTGTCACTGTGGAGTGTGAGGTGAATATAGTTTAACGGAGCTTATTTTAATTTTTACTTTTATACCAGAAATAGTTTTTTACCTAAAGGGTCTGAGAATACAAATTTATGTTACTAGGGAAAGATTTTTTTTTTAATCTAATATATACATAACCCTTCTTGCAGAATAATTTGTCACAATTTTATTATGCTATTAATAGACTGTAAAGCCTAGTCTTTGAAATATGGCAGTTTTATGTTACTCATTCAAGATGAAACTTTAAGACTGGACTGTGTAACCGTGTGCCCCTCACACTATCACCACCGCTACCCCGCCCTAGTGCCCTTTTAAGGTTTATATTCTTACTCCATCATGGTGATTCTGTTCCATTGTAACTTCTAATAGATGATGGGCTGAGGTCTAACGTTTTCTCTTTTTCTTTCTCTCTCAATATTGAGGAGGAATCAGCTGTAAATAATATATAAATGGGTGAGATGAGGTATGGCTCTTGATTCTATCCTTAACGTAGACTGTTTAGCCCATTGTTTTCTGTTAAATCCTAGAAGTGCTTATTATAATTTGTAGGGTTGTTTTGTTTTGTTTTAAGAAATAAATCAGGAAAGA